CCTTTACCATCCAAGCTGTTGGCCTTTGGAATGCTCTTCCGGCTTCCATAAGACAGGCACAATCAATCACTATCTTCAAAGAACTGGTAAAAAACATTATTTCTCTTTGTAATTCTAAGTTGCTAAAACCCTTCCTCGTTTCACTAAAGTATATTATTAGTATATATCTTATGTACATAAATATGTATATATTATTTGTATTTATTTTCTAAATTTATATATCTTATAAGTATTAATGCATCTTTACTAAATGTTACTTATTTATCTTGAATTTACGTACTCTTACTCTATTCCTCCGTTTTTATAACGACTTTTCATTCTTCTCCATTAAAAGGTTGTCTGGTAGAAATCGCTGTTAGCGATAAGACCGCCAATTGCTACATCATCGTGTAATATTTTATTTGTAAATTTCATATAAAAAAACTTTGTAACTGTAAAAATGGTGAGACAATAAAGAATTATTATTATTGGAATATAACGCATATCTAGTCACATACGTCATCATTTTGAGGACATAACGCGCGTTGAGAATGAAAATGTTGCTAACCAAAAACGTATTTATTACTTTTGACAACATTTTTCTTTGTTAAGTATAAACTAATAATAATAATAATACACTGGACCGCAAAGAAAACGGGTCGGTTAGAAAATCTTCAATAACTTGAAAACTACCTCACCTAGCTTTATGAAATAAAAACTCAATTAAAGAATATTTAATGTTATTTAACATAGTATATAAAACCTTTTTATTTACTTTAGATAATTGTGTAAGAAAACTGGCAATGAAGATAATGGTTGTTTTTCAATTTAGTTCTAAAAAAATCAAAGCATTTGTTTCGCATTTGTTTTAGTTTTGACATAAAAACTACAATAAATATCGTGTGTTTGTCATACAAAAATTGTATTCTGAAGTCATCATGTCGTTAACCCCTGAAGAATGCACCAGGATCCTGACAATGCTTGAAGATGGGCGCAGTCAGCGCAATACAGCGAGAACTGTTGGTGTGAGTCTTTCCACAGTTCAGCGGGTACTCCAGCGTTTCCATGAAACTGGATCCAACCTAAGAAGACCAGGAACAGGCCGAACGAGGTGCACGACTGCGCGGGAGGATCGCTATATGGTGTCAACAATTTTGAGAAATCGATTTCTTACGGCCGTTGAGGTAAAAAATCACCATTTACGAGCTGGAGGAAACTATCTGAGTACAGATACAGTAAGGCGACGTCTGGCTGAAGCAAATTTGAGACCATTAAGGCCTGCAAATGGCCCAAAATTAGAAAGACACCACTTAAACTCAAGGCTGAGTTATAGCAGAGAACACGAAACTTGGACTCTGGATGACTGGTCAAGAGTTATGTTTTCAGACGAGTCTAGATTCTGTTTATACAAGCACGATGGGAGGAAAAGAGTGTACCGAAGACCGGGAGAGCGCTATAACCAAGCTTGTATAGAAGAAAAAGTACCATATGGCGGTGGCTCTATACACGTGTGGGCTGGGATTTCTTCCGAAAGCCGTACTGAGCTAGTAGTGATAGAAAATGGCAGTTTAACAGCAGAACGATATGTGAATGAAATTCTTAATGACTATGTTGGTCCATTTTTAGTAGATATGGGCGAAAATGCTGTTTTTATGCAAGACAACGCCCGCCCGCATACAGCTCAGATAGTGTTCGACTATTTTCACGAAGTAGGTATCACATGCATGGAGTGGCCAGCACGAAGCCCCGACTTAAACCCCATCGAACATGCATGGGACGAACTGGGACGACGTGTACGTCAACGGAATCCGCCGCCAATCACGCTGCGTGAATTGAAAGGAGCTTTGATCGAGGAATGGCAGAACATTCCGCAGCATCGCCTTAAAAACCTTGTGGAAGGTATGCCGAATCGCATAGCCGCAGTTTTGCAAGCTCGTGGAGGCAACACGAAATACTAACATGCGTAAAAACGTCACATCTTTATACAATTCATATTTACGAAAATGTCAGAAAAACTACCTTTTTCATTCGTTTGACATTTATTGAAAATAGACAACTTTTAATTTGTATTTTTTTATATTCAATAAATTACAATTAAATAATCTTTAATTTAGTTTTTATTTCATAAAAATAAGTTAAGTAGTTTTCAAGATATTGACGATTTTCTAACCGACCCGTTTTCTTTGCGGTCCAGTGTATATCGGTAATCACTCACCATCAGGTGATCCGTCTGCTCGACTGCCCCCTATTCCATAAAAAAAAAATAATAAAAAAAGCTTGAAAATGCAAAGATCCCTGTGAACGCAGCTTGCATAGAAACCGCTAGGTGGCGTAGCGACAATACGTTGTTTAGAGGGGCTGATTACAATTTCTTCAAAAGTACTTTTACGAATACGATTCAAAAGTACTTTTAAGAAGTCTATTTGAATAAAGATTATTTTGACTTTGACTTGAACTTTAAACGCTTATTACTCAAAATAGCATTTTTTGCATTGTGTCACTATCGTTCTCAACGGTCAAGGTCAATCCTTACTGGAATTATCGTGTTGGGTCAATACCTAGTTGGACTAATCATGATATGACATCATTACTGAAAATAACGTCTTTCATTGAATTCTTTTTGTTGTTAATAAAAAGAAAACTAATGAATAAACAAGGTATTTCATCAAATAATTAAATTTATTTTTGGACACCCTACATTAACGATATGACCACACTTGGATTGACATATCATTTAACGTATACGCTTAAATGATATGATCAAATGGCCTACCGGATCATAAAATCATCAACTCTACAATATGGCCACGACATATACATATATGTAATGTAATAAGCCGTTTATTGAAAAAAATATAATATGTTGCACTGTAAATAGAAATATGATTTCATCATCAGCCCTTTTAACTTCCTACTGCAAGGGCTCAGGCCTTCGTTATAGATGGTTATAGATGGGCCAGGACCTTCCACGCTGGCCCAATGCAGATTAGGGGGATATACGACTGCAAATGCTTCAGGGCTATATGTGCCTTGCAAAGCACGGACTAGCTGAGAAACTAATTTTTGGTCACCCATCCCGTGACTGACCTTTCCGAAAGTTGCTTAACTACAACGACCGCTGGTCGCGGCGCTTATCAACTACGCGACTAAGTTACTCAGAAAATGGAATATTTTTTATTGTAATCTAAATGTAGATTTATTTATTAAAAAAATCAGTTAAACGTTTTATTGTATAATTATTCTATTCATAAATTACTAGTATGAACATAGTGTAAAGTACTGCCAACATAGATAATATTTAACAGTACAGTTAACAGCACATCAGGCTACACAAAACTGTTGAATATCTCCATTTCATTTTAAATCTTAAAGTATTGATAAAAGAGTCGTGAGTTTTAAAATAAAATGCAGTAAGAAATTTAAACTTTGCTATACAAATTAAGTAATCTAACGTTTCTATCAAAGAATTTTGTGTAGACTACGTCTTCGATTAAGTTTTGTGTAAATTTCAGAACTGTTGTTTTTCATCTGTATTTCAAATTGAATTAATATCTCTAAAGTTTTCAAAGAGAAAGTGCTGAAACATATTGGATATTTGTTTCTTTTTTTTGTTGTAGTATCTTCGAACATAAACATCAAGGTAATTTCATCATCAACTCGAACAAAAACAACGGTTTTGGAAAATATATGCTGCCCAAAGTAACTATACCACGCGGACGAAGTCGCGGGCAAAAGCTAGTAATTGTAATAAATATCACGATGACCGAAATATTCCAATAACTCTTTTAGTGGTTTTAAATCACCAAACCAATCAAAATATTTACAATAACTATTTATTATTGCATACGCTACCCAATGCGTTCCATTATTATTATGATTATCTAAATTAACGATTCCGCATTCTATTGGTTTTGACTTATTTGGTAATCTATCTTTCATTTAAACTCCACAAAAATGTGGTATAGTTCTAGAATATTTCATTAACACTATTTAGATAAAGCTTTATTGGGTAGCTGGGAAATTAGTTTTTTGAACTTTTTATAAATAAACCACTGCCTTTTTTATACGGTTTGATGTTAAGACCTTTTCCCAATACAATTGCTTGCATAGTTTTATTATGACGTTAGGATTCTTTTAAATTTTGTTGTGCAGTTTTGTATTCATTTACCGTTTTCACAACACCTGCCACACCTCCAGCTAATGCACCTAGAGCAGACAATGCCGCAGAAAGTTTTTTGGACTTCAAGTAAATCCAACAAAGATTAACACGATCATAGTGGGTAATTCTAGGCTGATCGCTAAACTTGACTGGCACCTCCTACCAAAAATTAATTTCGATGGTACTGACATACCTTTTAGCGATACTGTTAAAAACTTGGGTATAATCATAGATCGGAGTTTGAATTGGGGACCACAATTGCAAGCTGTTAGTCGGAAGCTGTATGCTTCTGCTGCATCATTAAGGAGGCTACTTAATTTTTGGCCGTCTACCACTAAAATTGCTCTAGCACAATCTCTATTGCTTCCCTTACTTGACTACGCTGATACCTGAATCACTAAATGCAAAAAGGGCACATGTTCATACATTGAGCCAAAATGTTTTTTTTTTTGCGTAAATAAGCTTTTTATGACATTATCTACGTTTTCTGGAAAAAGGGCACATCAACTCTTTATAGTTTCTGAGATACAAGGCACCCGACAAACCTGTTTAGTGCAAAAAGGGCATGCTCTTACCCATCGTGCCCTTTATGCACAGATTCCCTTACTAAAGTTTTTGACAGCAAAATAATACATCCCAAGCTTAAATTACAAACGTAATAAGCCAAAATATATATTTTATTAGACATGGCGGTATGGGCCAGCCCTTTAGCCTTTACCATTTGGGATAAATTGTAAATTGAAATAAAAAAACAGCTTTTCTCCGTGAACGTTGAACGTGCATCCCATCTCAAGCGAGTTTTTATTTTGGCGTCTGTGATTGTAATAATGATTGTAATCCTTTGTAATCTACGAATTTTGAAATGGAGGAATCTGGCGAAAACAATAGAAAAAGAAAAATGGCGTCCAAAATGTACAGAACTACACAGAAGGGTCAGCGAGTGCGTGCTAAAAATGATCCTGATTTTATTTACAGAAATTGGTGAGTTTCTAAATTTGCTTATTTAAAATGTTATTGACATACTTATTTACTAAAATTTTTAACTGTTACCTATTTTTTCATTTTCAGTTGCAAAAACAAATGTTTACAGAATATTAAGCCACCAGAACTGTTGGACAACATTAAGCTTATGTTTTATGACCTAAAAACAAAAGATGAACAAAACCTTTACTTACAAAGTCTTGTGTCTGTGTCATCTATCAATAGACCTAGGTCTAGGTCCACCACAAATAATGAAAAACAAAAACTGAAATCTAAAACAGTGTCTTATGCCTTAAATTTAAAGGGAGACCGTATTCCTGTCTGCAAGAAAGCTTTCATTAATTGTCATAATGTATCAACAAAGAGAGTACGTCGGATTGTAAATTTATTACAAAAAGATGATATTCCCGTGGACAAACGAGGTCAATAGTCCAGCAGTAATGCTATGCCTGCATCTATCAACAGAAAGATTCTTGAACATATTGAGTCTTTTCCTGTGAGAGAGTCTCATTACACGACAAAATCATATAAATATTTAAGTGCAAATCTGACTGTGAAACAAATGTGGAAACTGTTTATAACAAAATATCCAGAGTTAGCACATACAGTAAAGTATACATATTACTGGTCATATTTCAGGAAAAACTTTGATCTATCTTTTGGTAGCCCTGCAAAAGATGTTTGTTCTCAATGTGAATCGTTAAAAACAAAAATCAAGAGTAGTACTTTAAATGACAATGCAAAGCGAGAAGCTACTGCTGAGCTGTTAGTGCACAAAAGGAGAAGCAAAAAGTTCTACACCACTCTACAAAATAGCACTGCTCAGGCAAAGGAAAATAATAAAATTTTATCGATTTGTTTCGACTATATGGCTGTAGTTGATCTACCTACAATTTCAGTTCAGGAAGTATACTATTACAGGCAGTTAAGTGTAAACACATTTGGGATTTATAATAATGGTTCAGATCAAATTACTTGCGTTTATCATGAAGGATTGGCAAGGAAAAGTCCAGAAGACGTTTGTTCTTTTTTACTGCATTATTTGCAAAACTTAGTTGATTCTGCTGTAGAGGAGGTGCATTTGTTTTGCGATAATTGCGCTGGACAAAATAAAAATCACGCTATGGTTAGGATGCTAGTAGGTCATTAAAAGAATTAAAAATGTTTAAAAAAATCAAACTTCATTTCTCTATGCGTGGACATTCGTTCTTACCATGCGATCGTGCTTTTGGTCTTATAAAAAGGAAGCTCTTTGACAGATTGTATTCTGTTGATGAGTATTTACACAGTGTCGTAATGCAATCATCTGATATCAGAGAACAATTCAATGTTTTTAAGCCTGATCTATCATTAACACAAGACTATCAAAACTGGTACCCAAATTATTATTTTAAAACGAAGCGTTCGGAATCTCATGAAAATGTGCCTTCCATTCCTTTCACAATTTTAAATTACCATTATTTTGAGTTCAATTCTAGAGAGCCAAAAGCTGTCAGGGTGAGTGAGTCCATTGGAGGATTAGTAAAGCACTATTTTCATTTGAAAAAGCCAGGGCAATCTTCAATCTGTCTGCCAACTCGACATTTATATGCAGAACAAATACCCATTCTAGAAGTTAAGATGGAAGATCTAAAAAAGGTGACGGAGTATATTCCACAAGAACATACTGCTTTTTGGGAAGAAATATTTGGTTGGCCTACAGAAAACAGAGTTCTGAGGGTATTAGAATAAATAAATAGTTGACTTTAATTATATTTAACTTTCTGGAATCTCTAGATGTTAGAAAAATGTTATTTTTATGCACTAAAATTCAAAACTACAGTAAAAAAACTATTCTAGAAAAAGATATTCACATTTTATAGTTTCCTGAACATTTTATGCTAATGGACAAGTGCCCTTTCTGTGATTAGTTATTCACCTGTTATCTTGATCTTACACAAGACCAACTCAATAGACTTGAGCGACTTCAAAACTTCTGTATTAGATTTATATTTGGATTACGTAAATATGATCATATATCTCAATTTCGTACTCAGCTCAAGTGGCTTCCTATTCGATTTTGCCGGAATGCTCACATGTTATCTCTTCTCTATAATATTCTGTTTAATCCCCGTTTCCCGCGCTATTTGAAACAGCAATTTAATCCTCTTTACTGTTCCACTTCACATTCTTTGAGAACATCAGAAAACTTGAAACTCCTCTCCGGCTTCCATAAGACAGGCACAATCAATCACTATCTTCAAAGAACTTGTAAAAAACCATTATTTTTATTTGTAATTCTAAGTTGCTAAAACCCTTCCTCGTTTCACTAAAGTATATTATTAGTATATATCTTATGTATGTATGTACATAAATATGTTATTTGTATTTATTTTCTTAATTTATATATCTTATAAGTATTAATGCATCTTTACTAAATGTTACTTATATATCTTGAATTTACGTACTCTTATTCTATTCCTCCGTTTTTCATAACGGCTTTTCATTCTTCTCCATTCAAAGGTTGTCTGGTAGAAATCGCTGTTAGCGATAAGACCGCCAATTGCTACATCATCGTGTAATATTTTATTTGTAAATTTCATATAAAAAAACTTTGTAACTGTAAAAATGGTGAGACAATAAAGAATTATTATTATTATTATAATCATTGGAATATAACGCATATCTAGTCACATACGTCATCATTTTGAGGACATATAGGTCAAAACCTTACTGGATTTATCATGTTGGGTCAATACCTAGTTGGACTAATCATGATATGACATCATTACTGAAAATAACGGCTTTCATTGAATTATTTTTGTTGTTAATAAAATTGTGAAATTGTTGGACTGATAATAGCTCTTATCAGTTTTCGGAATGTCCGTAATTTGTTATGAATTGAAAAATTTGTTTAGTACTCGTGTACTTGACATACTACGAGGTTGATTACGCGTGTACTTGATGTGCTACAAGGACTGATAGTACTTTTGCAAATTATATTCTCATTTGATCCCATGTTTTAAGGTTACGCAACTGAATAACAAAACGAAGTAGGTATATTGAAAAAAATCTGTATATTTATATAAAAAAATAACTTATTATCTAGCAATATTGATAAATTAGCCTACAAAAAATAATATCAAATTGCTGCCAGTCATAGCAGTAAATAAGCAATAATATTATTAACAACCTTATTGACAACTCACCAGAGAGATTATATAGGATTAAGAAAAGAATGTCAGCATGTCCTCAAGCTCATCCAGGTTTCTTGAGACTTGGCCGTTTTGTGCGCCAAGAACGACTTCGTGTTCGATATCCATTTCCGCACCCTGTCATGTTTACCGCACTGGTTCTGATGAATATCGCAAATGACTTTACGATTGCGGTTGATCTGATGAAGTACACTTAGCAAGTCCACCTCTGTCTGTACTTCCTTTTTCAAGCTCTCAATTTAATTCAATCGTTCCGAGTCTGTCATACCGTTAGCGCACCGCTTGGAACTTGGCTTGTTAGTACGGATGTGGCGGTTTATCATCCTCATCATCCCTTCATACTCTCTTTTTATCATTCCTAGGGCAGGAAGTCGGTTATTAAATTTGTTATGACCAAACAGTGGGTTAGCAGTGGTCCACAAAACAACTTTAAGCGATTACAGAGATAGACCAATCGGTGTCGCCATTTCGTAAACAGATCGAAATTAGTGCTAAATGAACTTTACGAGCTCAGTTGACTGTATTATATATAGGCATAATTTTATACGCGTGGTGTAGTTTCTTTGAGAAGAAATATTTTTCCCTTGGAATACTCCTTTTTTTAAATTTATTTATGGCACAAACAGTCATTTCAAATTTATTAAATGCGAAAAAGACCTTGAGTGTCACTTAATTACTTCTGTTAATCTTCTGTTTATTCACAATTATTACTTCTGTTATCAAACATTTATCTATACTTATCAATTTTCAATTTTTGATCAATTTTCTAGGCAAAATTTTCATCCCCTATTTTTCGCGATAAAATGTAGCCTATGTTCTTTCTTAAAGTTAAGTCTATTTACTATACTATATTAAGGTTCAGTTGTTTAGGCGTCCAAGCGTAATAACACTTATTTATCTTACCTGATGTTATCGATACTTTTAATAAGTATCGATACTAGAACATTTACTGTAATCTACAATAAATATCGATTATACACAAATCGATTATTTTTTCCCAAGTCTATTGCTTACGATTTTTCCGGATCGCGGACACAGCAGTGCACAAGCGTAAACACGTTTTTCATTGCCGCCATCACGGACCTGAAAAAGCCGGTCCGGAATAGAGAAAAGTAAAACCCCAGACGGTAAAATTCCTAACAGTGCACAGGCTAACATTACCTATATATGGCCTGACATATCGGACCTGAAAAAATCGGACCGCCGGTCATGAAAATTCAGTGTAGTGCACAAGCGCCCATACGTAATTCAATTGCCTGTTTAGGTATTTGGTCACAGCGCTTATCAGTTGTTATTCATATTCAGTTACTTGTATGAAAACCAGAAATATCAGCGTTTGCGGAAGGCCCGTGAATAAAAATGGACTGTATTAATATTCAGATGTTAATTAGACTAATTAATTTTCAGAAAATGTGAACTATATTTTATATTCCTATCCTTCCTCGGCATTCCAAGACCCTCGGGTGTTATATTTTAAGAGTTTACTTAGGTATTCTGAATGTTTACTTCATCGGAGCTTTATCGGCATTTGATATTTAATGTTACATCTGTTTATTGTAGCGATAGACATAATATTGGTGGATTGGTGAGTGAAAATTATACAATGGTTCTCTCATGAAGTTGCTTTATTCAACTTTTATCATTATTGACTCTTGATATAAGAGTCTAATCCAAGTTAAAAAGAACAAACAAAATTTATTAGGTGATAATGTTGGTTGCTTGTTAGTTTTGAGCCTTCGTGCTGTTTCTAGTATTGTTTAATGTTTTCTGGTTAATATACACATTTCCCTCTTGAACTGTCCGTGATCCGAAGGAGTTACTGCTACTAGAACGGATCCGATAAGTGTTGCCAGTCTGTACAGTTATAGATCCCAATTGGATATTACCTTGACCGGTGGGAATTTGGCCTCCATTCTGTGGAGCTTCGCTATCACCTCCACCTGATTTAAATACCTGGTTCCTATACATTGTTAGCGATCCGAAGCTGTTGTGGCTATTCGGGTCGAGGATATAAGTGTTGCCTTTCTGGTATGTGTAGGATCCACGATGGATTGTACCTCCATTGCCGGGATTCTGGTTTTGATTTGGTAGTCCGTGGAACTGAGGTCTTTCTAAATTTACGTAGGATACTCCCTGCTTTCCAGGACCTCCCGGCGCAAAGGCGGTGCGAGTATGAGTGCTGGATGGTCGGAAACTATCAGGTGAAACAAAAACTTCAGTCTTTTCCTGTGCGATAGAGCCATATATGTTTCGGTCATTCGGGCCTGTTTCGTAAACGTTGCCTTCTTGGACCGTCAAGGCATCGAGCTCGGATCCGCTTGAGTAGTTGGACGTCTGTGATTCGATCGTTAACGCTCTTTGTTTTTCATCTCTCCATGCATCAACTCCTTTAACAAGAAAATTTCCAATTAGACTCAATGGGCGCTAAATAAAACAGAATGCCGTAGATAAGAAGTCAATATTTACGTAAAAAGCTGATGCTAGCGACTAGCAGCGTAACTATCACGCTGCGGCACAACATTTCGACTTCGTGGCTTGACCAATACTGTGTAAACAGTGAACAGATCCATAACATGACATTATGACAAATTCAAAATAAGTTTCAAATGACTCATCGCTTTGTGAGCAATAAGTGTCATGTAACCTTAATTCTTATCATGCGTTCATCTCATTTATGTTTAATATGTCACTCAAATACTTAGAATGCCAACTTAATTAACTATTAAGGCTCGTTGATCAACGATCAATACACATTTTCTGAGTAGCCACGAATTTATTTATATGTCGTAATCATACCAGACTTAGATACAATACTTGATTCAGTGCTCTTATCAACGTAATGTTGAAGGAGGCAGATGTAGGAGATAACGAAACACCATTACTGTGCTTTATATACGTATATTTTTTATTGAAAATCTAAATGAAATGAGTATTAATAATCAATATTTAATAAAAAATATTATCATATCACGAGTTATAATGATCCACTAATGAAAATTTAAGCAATTACATTTCCAAACTATCGATTGATGACATAGACCTTATATGAAGAAACTCTAGGAAGATAAGTGATAGATATTGCTGGTGCTTAGGTCTAAAAACTGTAGATTCCAGCCTGATTCTCATATTTACGCGTATCAGAGCTGTAATGGATTGTTCTGACCTCCTGGCGCAAAGACTAGAGTCGAGTCAACTTTGTATGGTTTACGATGATCCTGAGGTGAGTAATACTCGTCGGTGAACTGTTTAATTGATCCGTATATGTCACTGTTGTTGGGATCAGTTAAATAAATATTACCTTGCTGTATGGTTACTGGATTCGAGAGCGATAGGTCCACATCAGTCAGAGCCTTTCGGAGATCTTCCATATCTTCCGAGACAAACACGAAGAAGGACGTCCGTCCGTGCGTCCCTTGGATACCTTGAAATAAGAAGGACTAAATTATTCTTCACAATTAATTTGTCTTAAAATATTTTATATGATTGTTACGGCTGCTGTTAAAAAAAAAATATACTCACAAGCGATGTCGATGAAAGCGAAGAGCAACGCTACTACAATCTCGTTAGGCGCCATGTTCGATAAAGTATTCTCTGAACACTAAAATTCCCGGAACTTGTCAGCCATTTTTTCCCTTTTGTTATCGTAATATAGAAGGCCTAAGCTTGTCACATGACCCACAAGTTGCCAAAATTACTAACTCAAGATGACGTCATTATTAATTGCCCTCTGACACTTTGACAAGTTTCTTCGAACTTATTATGACTTCAAGGCTTTTACAGGATGAAATTATAATAAATAATTGTGTAAGAAAACCCCCACTTATTTAGCCCCCCATAAGCTGATCATCTATTTTTTTTTCATCCCGATCGTTTGATGGTCGTTTGATAGTATTTGATAGATTATTATTGTTGGTTGATGGTTATTTGTTTAATTATAAAACATTTTTTTTAAATATCAAAAAAAAAAGTTTTTTGGCCCCTCAATCATGAAACTATTTTTTTTTTATTATATTACTCTTAAAACATTTGTTGGTAATTGATAGATTATTAGTTTTGTTCAAACAGCAATATTTAATTAATTATTAATAATTTACACTTTTTTCCATGACACAGACCACACCCACGTTATTGGGGTTCTAATTGTGACCGTTAGAGTTTTCTATTTTGGCGCGGATTATTGCAAACATTAAACTATTATTTGATTTTGTTTATTATTAGAGTTTATTATTTCAGTTTATTATTTGAATTTCAGATTAGATTTTCACAGTGTTTCGTTCAAAGTAAAAACAATTTGTTTTGTTCTATTAAAGGTTTCAACGAACGAATAAAATTTTATCAATAATTTGTCGTTGTATTTACTTAAATTAGCCGATTTAATCTGTAATTTAATCAAGCATTGAATCGTTAATATAATTTAAATTAAACTTTTTAAAAGCAATATCTCTGTTACTCAATTAATATCTACTAGAGTGAAAGAGCACTATAAGTACGATTACTTTAAACTAGCTTTAGCCCGCTACTTCGTCCGCGTGGTATAGTTACTTTGGGCAGCATATATTTTCCAAAAACGTTGTTTTTGTTTGAGCTGATGATGAAATTACCTTGATGTTTATGTTTGAAGATACTACAACAAAAAAAAAAAGAAATATCCAATATGTTTCAGCACTTTATCTTTGAAAACTTTAGAGATATTAATCCAATTTGAAATACAGACGAAAAACAACAGTTCTGAAGTTTACACAAAACTTAATCGAAGACGTATTCTACGCAAAATTCTTTGATAGAAATGTTAGCGCAGATTACTTTAGCATTAATGCCATCTAGTATAGCAAAGTTTAAATTTCTTACTGCATTTTATTTTAAAACTCACTACTCTTTTACCAAACTTTAAGATTTAAAATGAAATGGAGATATTCAACAGTTTTGTATAGCCCGATGTGCTGTTAACTATACGGCAAAATATTATCTATCTTATATGCTGGCAGTACTTTACACTATGTTCATTCTAGAAATTTATGAATAGAATTATTGTCTCTGGAGTTATACAATAAAACGTTAAACTGATTTTTTAAATAAATAAATCCACATTTAGATTGCAATAAAAAATATTTCATTTTCTGAGTAACTTAATCGCGGAGTTAATAAGCGCCGCGGCCAGCGGTCGTTGTAGTTAAGCAACTTTCGCAAAGGTCAGTCACGGGATGGGTGACCAAAAATTAGTATCTCAGCTACTCTGTGCTTTGGATGACACATAAATCCCGGAAGCATTTGCAGTCGTATACCCTCCAATCTGTATTGGGCCAGCGTGGAAGGTCTTGGCCCATCCTCCTTACCACCATCTATAACGAAGGCCTGAGCCCTTGCAGTAGGGAGTTAAAAGGGCTGATGATGAAATTATATTTCTATTTACAGTGCAACATAATATATATTTTTTCAATAAACGGCTTATTACATAACATATATGTATACGTCGTGGCCATATTGTAGAGTTGATGATTTTATGATCCGGTAGGCCATTTGATCATATCATTTAAGCGTCAACGTTAAATGATATGTCAATCCATGTTTGGTCATATCATTAATGTAGGGTGTCCAAAAATAAATTTAATTATTTGATGAAATACCTTGTTTATTCGTTAGCGATATAGTTTTGTGGTCAATAGAACATTTTTTGAAATGCCTGGCCGCATTATGAATTGGTCAATTCTACGATCTGGCCACGACATTTATATAAACCTATACTTAGGTTATGAATGAACAAATGTAATAAAATAGGATTCTAAAAAATTATCAACTTTTAAATCTTAGGTTAATACCTATCAATCCTCAATAAATTAATTACTGATGAAACGAAAAACACAAATAATTGGAATTTATTTTATCTAAACGGAGCAACATTTTAATGTTTTTGATTTAAAGTCTGCACAAAGTTCTTTGATCAAATTAATATCAATATCACAATTTAGAATATACTCGCCATCAGCTGGCTGAAAAATTATTCTAGGTAAATTTTCTAGGCAAAAAATCTATGATACTTTTAATTTTACTTTCGAATAACATTCTACATAATATATTTAAAAATCAGACATTTAAAAATAAATAAAGTAACGCTAATTTTTAGTTACCTTTCTCATCTGGTACCTGCCCAGGTGTCACCGAGCGAACTCTACAAGTACGCAGGTATTAAAAGTACATGTAGAGACTACTTAGAATCGAAAGTTCTATGCTTTTAAAAATAAGTTATGTCAGATCGCTCTGGGTACTACGTATTAAGAGGAATGTTCTCTCCAAATTTCAAATTTCTACGACCAGCGGTTTAGGCTGTGCATTATCTGTCAGTCAGTAAGTCAGGATATCTCCTATTATAGATTTGCGCTTCCCGTGCAAAAAAATCAAAAATCAAAATCAAAATCATTTATTCAGTCTAGGCTGTTACAAGCACTTGTGAAAGTCGAGAGCTACGCCAACGGTTCGTAAATCTACGGCGGGAGACCTTGTACCGAGAAGAACCGGCAAGAAACTCGGTAAGGGCTGCAAAAGTTTCAAAACAAAATAAGAATAAATAATGAAACAAAATGAAGAAATAGACTCAAGAAATAAACAAAGAGTTAATTGAGAAGTAGATATAGAAAGCTAGATACAGATCTTTATACAAATATGTAAAGTAAGAGAATAGCTAAGTCGTTTGATAGAATAAATATAGAAGTTAAATATGGCAATGTAAAATACAGGCAACTCCATTATTGGACTTAATATTACCGATTATATTAAAAATGCTGTTTTATCTTAATACACACATGTACACAAATTAGTATTTAGAAAATCGGCAATATACGTTATTTTCTTTTCTGAAAAACATCGTAGTAAAATCTAAACTAGTCATCCAATCGTAAATGCTGTAAAAGACAATTTTAATGTATATTAAAGGACAATGTCCAGCCCCCATACATTTTTCGCCTAAGAACCTCTAAGCATGTACTATCACTTTTCGTGTTCTAAAGTATCTACATTTACGTCTAAATACATGTTTAAGTAACGGACACTTCTAAGAAATGTATAAATCAAAAAATATATTTTGGATTTGAGGTTATAATTTTAACAATTGTAGCGTGCGGTTAGATTCTTTTTAATGTTTGTTTTACTTGCTTTTTGTAGGGAAATGTATGTCTACTTTGCTTTAAATGTTGATTGTTGTTGTTTGCTTTAAAAGGTTCTGTAGGTTCTGTATCGGGAGCATGTACTTACCAATCTTGGAGCAACCCAGTGTTGTATACACTGAAGGATCTGCTCATCTTCTAATACCATGCAACCAGAAGCTGAACCGCAATTAACACAAAATACTTCAACACACCCAGATTCCATGTTAATGTCCGTTAAATAAATGCCAAGTCGTCGTCTATAGTAGGTCGGTATGCCGTAAATCACTGCCGGAGGTCGATATTATAAGACGAAATCAGTCCTTAGTTCAAGCCAAGTCGTTATTTTATAACTAATATTCACAAGACACAAGAAATCGTACAAACAAACTCAAGCGACGTAAACACAACGCGAGTATGAAAGCGATTGTCAAACAAAACTTCAAAAGTTCAAAATTGTCAAACGTATGTAAAAGAGCGCTTCCAGCCGCTTAAAAATCTACGAACGTTTTGAGTCTCGTTTTAATGTCAAGCGCTTTAAGTGTTCATTGGTTGATTATACATCAAATTGTGCATAGATCCTGATTTGTCAACTTATTAAAATATGGTGGCAGCGTTTATTGAAGTTTATCAAATGTATTGATATTACTTTTTAAAGTAATTACAAAAATGGGCAGTGTCCGTTTGATTTTGAAAGCTGATATATTAATCATAAAATATGATAAGAATTATGATATACAAGATATTCTTAGAGGTTCATAGGCTAATTTGGACATTGTCCTTTCTTCAACGATAAACATATTTATTTAGATAAGGATTTAATATCACCTACTCAAATGAACGTTTAAAGACGGACGAAAAATTGAAATACACTTATACGAAGTTTCCTTTTATTTTTGTGGTAAAACCTTTGCTCATAGACATATGACATCGCGGACTTTTAATAAACAATTTAAGGCTCCTTAACTTGTCTTTAGAAAGCATTCGTATATCTCATACCATTTGGGCAGCGTTCACAAAAATAGGCGCCGTTGGAGGTACTTCTAACCCTAGTATCCTATTATCTAAGTCAGGTAATACCCTATCTATATACCAAATTTCATCAAAATCCGTTCAATAGTTTCGGCGTGATTGGCCAACAAACATCCAAACAAAGAAACTTTCACATTTATAATATTAATAATAGGATTAACTCAATCGAAAATTCTCCTTCAAGGCGTTTCGTGTAGGCACGACCATAATTATGGCTTTGCCAGTACGCCTTGATAAATGAATGAAAATCTATACTTTACTACTGAGCTTTTTTTTACACGTTACGATTGGCACCTTGTGTGTGCCATCTGCAATTTTAGATTTCAAGTAGGTAGAAGAACCTTAACTGTAGACGAGTTTTATATAATTTTGTGGAGGTAATGACATACACTCATCAGCTGGACCTTTATGTCGTTCAAGTGTTAAAATATTCTTATTTTATTTTGCTAAAGACGTGAGACTTTTTATACAACGAATTTGTGAGAATAAAGTTGTTTGTTTGAATTCCTTTTTCAAGACCGATCCACCATTATGTATATATGTATAAACAAAAGTCTGAAATATCACAAAATTTTAACGTGCGTTCTCATTTTAGTGTTTATCATGGGACGCGCATGAAGTTTGGCAAATCCAAAAGTGCACGACTCATAATGTTCATTCGTTTTAACGTAAAAAGATTTCTTTTTCAATTTTATTTACTGTTATTTATTTATTAGTTATTATTTTGGTATTAGTGTCGTTTTTTCCTTTATTTTAGCAATAAAAAAAAATACTTCTATTATATTTATATTTTAAATAATAAGTTAGTAGGAAAAAATATTGAAGAACTGAAATTACCCGGTGTTTTAAACCGATCATACGCACTAAATATAAGCTGCAACAGCTGTTATGCGCGTCGGTAAAATGTTTACCATTATTATATAGGTATACAAACACTCATGTTTATAATTTTAGTTTTTCGTTAATAACTATTAAACAACGTTAAATAAGATAACCATTTTCAATATTAACCATAACCATTTTCATTATAAATACTTATTTTACATAACTAACTACAAACGACAAACTCATCGCTAGCCAGCGATTTCTTCTAGGCAACCTAGCATTACATGGAAAATAGAAAAATAAATAGTCGATTGTGCACACAACTAGACAAATAATAATAATTCAAAAAGATAAAAAAACAAAAGAAGGACAGTTTAAAGGTACGAATAAAATGCTAAGACACAAGTGACAACCAGAGCGCGAGAAACGAGAAAAAAAGATAGAAAAATAACATTCGTAAGGAGCGTTCACAGGATGGGTGACCAAAATATTATAATCTTGAGCACTGTGCACAACACTGGCACAATGCACGTGAAGCCGTTAGTCCTGGCTGCATCAGCAACGTTAACACCCACCGATCCGCATTAAGCCCGCATAGTGGGTTATGGTCCATTGATGTATTCGATTCGACTCCATTCATAGGAAAAAAATAATTCTACCAAATACTTCCCACGCAGACGAAGTCGCAGGCACAGCTAGTTTTAAATATAATACATAACTTCAATGATCGTCACTTGTGAATGCTATTGTTATGATAAATAATTTCAAAACAAAATAATTAGAATTATTTCTTGAAAATGAATAATTTTATGAGAGTTCTTTCTAGGGTTTCCTGACATCCACCTGGGACTTATTTTAAGATACCAGGTGCCGGACCAAGAGAGAGGGTAGTACGGGGCGTTTTGCACGGTAGGCCCACTGCACTGGACCGCCGTCCCTTGCAGTGGGAGAGCCCGGGTTCAGTCGGCCTTTAGCCCAGGTCGACGACATGTTAAGGTCAGTTCCCCTCGGTATAAAAAAGGGTTTCCTGATATGTTTTTATATTTCAATACATTTTTTATAAGTAGCATTAATGTAAGCAACCAATAGGTAGCTAGACCACAACTGTTCAGTTATTAAAGCGCTATTGCAAAATTTATCAAAACTTCCCGTTTCGTTTCATTTTAAGATTCAGTTACTCTTGAGTCTATAGACTGATTACTAGTAGAACTTTTATGTGACATATCAAAGTCATAAATAATAAGATTGGGTTTGATTTTGGACTTAACGAAATACCGCATTGATAGGAAAGACATTAATGACATAGATATTACCTCCATAGCCGAGTGGTTCGCACGCCGGTTTCACGGTGTCGCCATCTCTGAGGTCCCAGGTTCGATTCCCGGTCGGGTCAATGTAGAAAATGAACTTTTCTATATTGTCTCGGGTCTGGGTGTTGTGTTACCTTCGTTGTCTCAGATACTCCATGATACGGGTGCTTTAGTTACACATCTGGAATCTGAGCAACGTATGTGATGTTTTTTAATATAACAAATAGATACTATATAAATCTCTTTGACTGCTAAGAATTTCTGATTGATTAACATTATAACCATCAGAGGTATTTAAAGTTAGAAACTATTTAGTTTATCACTAGTTTACTATTTAGTTTATATTAACTATTTAGTCTATTTTGTTAACTATTTAGAAACTATTTAGTTTCTAACTTTATTTGTTTGTTTATAGAGGTTAATATTCGGAAATAATGGTCTGATCATGAAAATTATTTCACCAACGGATATTATATGTGACTGTTATAGGTTTATAATTTACGCAGGCGAAATCGCGGGGAACAGCTAGTATTATAAAAAGATGTAACTTTGAGGTGAATATAACGTCACTAACAAACCTCTGTTGGGAAAATGAAAATTCGTGGTCATTTGAACGGTGAAAAGCTGTACACCCGCTGCATTACTAAACGGAAAGTGAAGGCATTAAAAAGGCCGCTCATCACAGCCATGAAAGGCGCAAAGGGTCGACTGCAGTGCGTGCGGCCACAGGTGGAGGCCGTTCCCCCACCCCTCATCTCGCTGAAAAGCATCCCTGCTTTTACCCAGCTTCAGTCACAGTACCGTAGCGAACGTCGCGTTGCACAGACGCGTCTGTGCGTAACGTTCACGGATCACGAGACTCGCGTGTGATATCCGACAAAAAAGTTTCTCTTACAGTGTTGTTTTCAGTGAACGGTTGAAAAAAAAACTATCAAATGTGCGATTCTATTTAAGCAGGAATGGATGGAGAAAACCGGATAATTTTAAACGTAGGCGGCATAAGGTAAGGACGCATAAGAATGTGTAGCAATTAACTAAAAATACAAGGAGCTCAAAGAAATTACGAGAGAATTTTTCTCTTTTCATATTTTTCGCCCTTTGTTATTGGGACAATGCAGAATTGAAAGGAGGTAATTTATGTGATAAAATGATGATTTTTTAATAGAAGCGCCTATTTATTGACGATTATCTGTTACGTTCTACTTAAGACTTTAAAAGGTTAGATCTTTTTTCGAGTTCGCTTTGAAACTAAATACGAATTTGAAGATCGTATTTTAAATACAGGTTTAAAGCATACCAATTGATATCAAAGCTCTAATTTCAATTTATCATAATAAATACAAATTAATACTCCATTCTAATTGAATATTTTAATAACATCCCATTCTTTAAGGGTTTTCGATAAAAATCACTTAAAACTCTATTACTTTTTACACTACCACAGAATCAGAATTATTTTAACTCTAGTTGTGAGATGCTGCAAAACACATGACTGCGGATATGATATGGTCTATTGTTTTTACTTAACAAATTCCACTGATATATGTTTATGTCACTGTAAAATCCTAGGTAACTGACTAAATACAGAATTTTGGAGACGACTATAGAATAATTCAAAGAAGTTGTAAAGCAGAAGTAGGTATTATAGGTATTATGATTTTACAATTTTAGACCTTTCGGGGTTTTCGTACAATTTGTATAACGAACTTAAGTTTAGGGCCGGTGTAAATTGATCTAGCGGATAACTTTTTTTGATATAGACTTCATAATTTTGACTAGTGATGACCTTTTTAAATGACTTAAAAAAAGTACGCTTAGGCGGAATTGATGCTTAACGTGTGCCTGTGTATATAACATTAAAATTAACAGGCTATATTATTAGATTCTGTCGATACTTTCGAAGTACAGAACGTCCTCGGGACACAACTCTGTTTGTTTACGAATGAAACTTCGGAAAATTTGGAAAAGATCTCATAATTTTTTAAAATCATATCATTGATGAATATATCGCACACCTAGATCTAAACTGAGACAACTCAAAAATTTGATTGAGTTTTGACTTCGTACAATATTCAAATTCTCTGTGATCAAACGCATCTATCCAACATAACAGATTCAATAAAGGTTTGGGGATGAGCCGCTAGATAACTTTAGCTTTCTTTTGTTAAATCAACAGTGGTCGTGCTCCTGCCACGTAAACAAATGTATTGTCAGACCTCCACATTCGTTTTTTGAGTTGTCTTAGTTTAGATCTAGGTGTGCGATATGTGTCTGGTCCTACCTCCGTTGCATTATAAAATTTCAAAAATTCGTTTCGTTTTACAATGGTGGCGTTTCGATTCTGACACTTCGCTGGCCGTTGCCGCGGCTTTGCTCGCTAGGCTCGTGCGCTGTTTGTCATGCTATAACCTAATCTAACCTAATCATATATGGTTCAATAAGCTTCGCAGTTTTTCTGCATTGCTGCAACGCGTTGTAGTCGAATAGCATGACATCCACGACACGGATTTCGCTACGTGCTTATTCTGTGATTGCATCACAATGCGTTGTAAGACCCATAACACGAATTTTGTTATTTCATTTCAGCGAATTCTCATTTCATTTCATTTTCATTTTGTTCTGTATGTTACGCTCGAACTTTGAGACAATAAAATTAACTCGTTTCTTCATTTTACCCATTAAAAAAATCAAAATGTAGGTACATTATAAGAAACTGGTTACCTACACTAGATAATGAAGAAACGGAAAACCTTCACACATTACAAATTATTGACTTATAAGGTTTCACAATAATATTTATTTATCTACACAGTTACAATAAGTCCATAATATATCTTTCTTTTCATTAATTTTAATTTGGACAAAATATACATTTATTACATAATTCATAAGTCCTAAACATAAGACGATATATTATTTTCATTATTAGCTTGTTCTATTCCATAAACTTAATTGATCCAAAAAGTGCAATTCTTACTAATGCTGGGTTATTAGAGTTCAATGACGATGATTGAATTCTAATAACCCAGCTTTATGTAAGTTCAACATAGCCCTGGAAGTAGACCTGTTGACCTGTCAGGTTTATCCAAACTTCTGTTAAATATCAGCCTCTCACAAACTGTACGATAGGTTTCCTATTACTGTATACACTTAGATTAGTTTGTGAAGGAAATAAATAAATGATATTATTATTATTATAGTTTAGGCTATTTAGCCAGTTGCAAAGTAAATATTCGTACTCGTATGTTAAAGCTAAACTTAATCATATATCAAGAACTAAACTAACGTAGACTTAGTGTTCCACAGTATAGGGAATTGATAATTAGTTTCAATAAATTGTTCCGTATTGTTTCTCAAAACGTATATTGTTCTCTCAAGACAACTGACGGAAGCTTAGCTTGTGTATATGCCGATACACAACTAAACTTTGCATATTTTAGATTATATAAGTTTATATTTTAGTTTGCACATAATATGGAAAGCGGCGTTAGTTATGGGAGCTTAGCTAAACTAACAATCCTATTAATTAATAATATTATAAATGTGAAAGTTTCTTTGTTTGGATGTTTAGATGTTTGGATGTTTGGATGTTTAGATGTTTGTACGTCAATCACGCCGAAACTAATGAACGGATTTTGATGAAATTGGGTATACAGATAGAGTATTACCTGACTTAGATAATAGGATAATTTTTATCCCACCAAAAGGTTCCCTAGGGATAAAAGTACCTCCAACGGCGCCTATTTTTGTGAACGCTGCCTAAACGGTATGAGATATACTAATGCTTTCTAAAGAAAAGTTGGAGAGACTTAAATTATCTATAAAAAAGTCCGCGATGTCATATATCTATATGCAAGGGTTTTGCCACAAAAATAAAAAGAACTTTATATAAGTCTATTTAAATTTTTCTTCCATCTTTAAACGTTTATTTGAGTAGGTGATATTAAATCCTTATTGAAATAAATATGTTTATCGTCGAAGAAATTTAATATACATGAAAATTGTCTTTTACACCATGTAGATTGGATAAGTAGTTTAGATTTTAATACGATGTTTTTGAGAAAATAAAACAACGTATATTGCCGATTTTCTAAACACTATTTTATGTACATGTATGTATTAAGATAAAACAGCATTTTTAATGTAATCGGTAATATTAAGCCCAACAGATGACATTGCCTGTATTCTACATTGCGATGTTGAATTACCGCAACTACATGGATATAGATGACTGTGACTCTGTGGTGCGATTCAATAATCTCTTCATTGTAAGTGATTTCTGCGTTGTCAATTGGTTCTATTTGTCGATTTGGCTATTCTAACGTACTTGACTTGACATTTTGTGTGATTTTATCTCAAATAACTTCTATATTTTCTATCTATTTAGCAATTCTCTAACTTTACATATTTATATTAAGATCTGTATCTAGCTTTCTAAATCTACTTCTCAATTAACTCTGTTTATTTTTTGGGTCTACCTCTGAATCTTGCAAGTCAAGAAAACCCAACGTGCAACATTAGCAAAAGCAGCGACCGCGGTGCCCTTTTGCAACAATATAAATTAATCGTGTAGAACGAGTGCACAATGTCGCACAAGCGCGTGGTTGAGGCTTTGAACCGGAGCCTGCAGGACATCCGCAGCAATGAGACGCTGATGGGAGGTGCTGTTGTTGTACTCACTGGAGATTTTCGGCAAACTCTTCCAGTTATTGAAAAGGGTACACCGGCAGATGAAATGAACGCGTGTCTCAAGGTTTCGTCACTTTGGTCCAACGTAGAAAAATTCCACCTTACTCGGAATATGCGTGCACAACCTTACAATGATACAGAGTCAGGTGCGTTTGCGAGTAAGCTTCTCGAGATCGGAGATGGTAGGCTGAAAACCGATCCGGACGGCAAAATCATTTTCACAAATGAATTTTGTGCTACCGAGGAAGAACTACTCGCCGATGTATTTCCCGATTTAAAAAACAAATTAAATAATGAGGATAAACAACAAGGTATTAGATGTAGTAGATGGCGCATCGAGGGTGTACACGTCCATAGACACGGTGATGGCAAGCGATGACAGCAGTGCGTATCCCGTGGAGTTTCTCAACTCATTAGAATTGACCTGCGTACCGCCCCACAAGCTGGAGCTGAAGGTTGGCGTCCCAGTTGATGCGTAATCTTGACGCTCCGCGATTGTGCAACGGCACAAGATTACAAATCAGCGAATTGGGAAGAAACATTCTGCGAGCAACAATACTTACGGGAGCAGCTAAAGGCGAGAGCGTGTTGATTCCCCGCATACCCATTATACCCCACAATTTACCATTCCAGTTCAAAAGGCTGCAGTTCCCATTGAAATTGGCATTTGCTATGACCATCAATAAGTCCCAGGGACAAACCCTAAAAGTGGCCGGCATACATTTGGGCATTCCCTGCTTTACCCATGGCCAGCTCTATGTGGCATGTTCTCGAGTGTCAAGTGCAAGGAACCTGTATGTACTTGCTGCAAATAATAGATCATACAACATCGTATATAGATCCATATTATAAGATAGTCATAATCGATGTTGTATGATTTATTATTATCAAAATCTGTTCAGTGGTTGCAGCGTGATTGACTGGCAAACATGAAATTGTTAATGAAAAAAAAAAGGTCAGATTTACTTTCCTCTGGATATTCCTACAGAATTGTTTAAATTATTTTTTATCTCACTAAACATTTCCTTAGGAACCACGCGGGCGAAGCCGCTGGCGAAAGCTAGTCTAACATAAAGGTACAAAATATTCAGTTAAAATCCGGTTGCCGAACAGAGAGAATTATATTACACATCTCTTTCACTTGTACGTAAACATATTGCTATTGCACTCACACAGAGTATCAAATTTAATTCTAAAATGTTTACAATATTTATTTTTAGGTATGACGTAAGGAATACTCTCTGTTTAATGACTGGACGACAACTAACAAATATGTTAAATAATTTTAATGCCAAATCAGAGAGAAGTGAAAAA